AGCACAGAAGAGGACACTTAGCTAAGGATGATCACCTTCCTTGAGAAGCTTCAGTTTATTGTCTCCTCCTGGAATAAACTTGCAATAAAGCCTTCACCTCTCTCCTTCCCTTCCAGCTCATACAGTTCCCAAGGAAAGAATGAGCCTGCCAGGCCATTGAAAAACTAAGGAGGGGATAGAATCTTCTCTCCTGCCCTGCTTCTGGTTTCTGATTCTTGGCTTAGAGAAGTGGAATTCTGGCTAGAGCAGTCACTGTTTGGAGGCAGGGCTATTCTGTCCCTTCATCCAGATCCCGGAACCGAAAACCCCACAGCTGCGGGAAGAATGGCTGGGGGGCAGGGGGGAAGCAAGCTGGGCTCTAGGGGCAGAAGGTGAGAGAAAGGACCCGCATCTGGTGAAAGCTGTGTCAGGCACTGTGCTGTGTATCACAGTACCTCAAACCTTGGGACAGAAGTGTAAGTTAGAAATGCTTTATTTACAGATAAAGGAACTGAGGCTCAGAAAAGCTGAGATTTGCTCTCATTTCAGCAGTAGTGCTGGGATTTGAACCCAGGTCAGTATGACTTATGACTCTACAACCCATGTTCTTTCTACTCCAGCAAACAGCACATATAACAGCCCCAGTCCTTGCTCACCCTACAGTCCTCACTGGTCAAGGTGACCTTAGTTTTCCACAAAAGGTCTAGAAAATATGTTTATTCATCTTTAGCTTTATGCTTTTAGACTAGTTCTTAAAGTCTACTTGGGGTACGTTAAGGACCATAGGAATGTGTTTTCAATACAGTAATATCTATTGGTTATAAAATGCTGTCATATAATCATCTTCTTTGACACAACATCCCCACCCCAAAACTTAAAGCGAAGAAGCCGAGGCACAAAGTGGTTAAGGGACTTGCCCTAGGCGGAGATTTGTTCAATCATAAAAATGGGCCAGAACTATTCCCACTTTGTGTTCTGAGTCGAAAGACTCAAAACATAAGCTCAAGGGGGAGATCTCACCAAATTTCATGTCAGATCGTCCTCTTGGTAATTTAATCCTGTCATTCCTAGTTATATCCCTTTGGAAAACCACCACCAATCCTTTCTTTTTTGATAGTTTCATGCTAAAACAATTCCCTGTACAAATCACCTCACACTTTCACAAACAACCAACTCAGCAATACTCCCTGAAGTGTGTACTGCACATCCCGCCTGCACCCCATCCTCCAGGCGGCTCTAGTTTCACTCCCAGTTGGAATTAATACAGTATCTCCCAGGATAGGAGGGGGCAAGGAAGGAGGTGGTTACCTCGTGGGCGCGGGCTCTCCTGGACCCTTTGTCCGAGTGGTCATGTCCCAATTAGAGTGCAGGGCTCCCCAAAGGGGGAGGACTATTTAAGTTTTGTACATGCTGCCCTCCAAAAACCTCTTGACATAAATGTTTCATGGCTAGTCTCTGTGAAGCCGGGGCTGCAACACTCAGCTGTGAGGGTGTTTATATTTGTGGAACTCTCTTGAACATTTGCTGTGGGTTTCAAACAGCTGCTCTGCTGAAGCTCTGGGGATAGGAAGATCATGAATATTCAGGTGAAACCACCAGAATGAACAGCCGTTAATAGAATAAATGCCTAAACAGTTGTGTAAGGCTTATTAAGACCTATTGGGGCTGAGATAATAAATTCCCACTCTGACATGTTGCAACTACTGTTGCTTAAACACTTTGGACCACCTCTTCCGAACTGAAGGAAAAAATGATGTTAGTTCTCTGCGCAAACACAAAGGAACACCTGGAAGCCTTGGCAGGGGAATGAATTTTGGCAGAGATCTTTCCGTGGACCGACGTATCCTCAGGAAAATGATGTGCTGTTCATTGTTCGTGCTGTCAAGGTTATCTCAATCGACTACGGGCTGGAGTGGGCATTGCTCTGGCACTGGAGAGAATCTGTCCCGACTCCATGAGACCCCCTGGACATCAGCCTACACGAGCCCCTGTGACACTGACCCGGACCCTTGGCTCCCCTCACCCCCAGCCCCTACGGCCTGGGACCTCCCCCTCTCTCAGCCGCTTCCAATATGGTATTGGAGGGACCAAATAAACACTAACATTGGGCTCTTTTGTCTTCTGCTCCATAAATCCATAGCAGGGAACAGCATGCAAAGATTGCAAATGTAAAAGTGACCTTTCCAAGTGGCAACACCTGGTGAGTTAAAAAGTCCCTTGCACGCTGGGTTTGAGATGTGCACGATGTAAAAATGGGGAACATGGGAGGCAGTGGAGAGGCACTGTTTTCTCCTTTGGATGTTACCTGTCACATTTTGTTAGGCTGAGTCAAACTGCATTGTTCTGGCACCCAGGGTCACAAGGCATTAACCACGGGGGAACAGAGGAACTTACCCATGTTCTCACCTAGAGGCAGACTCAGTAATATTTGATCAGAAACCTGCTGTCAATTCAGATAAAGAGTATTTGACTTCAAATAAAGGTGACTAATTTAATGAAGGGAGCTTGCACATGTAAGGCCACGCTGGCTTCTCCAAAGCTGTCAGGGAGAGCTTACCCAGACTAGTCATGTTCGCTTATTTTCCTCACCTCTGAAGATACGATGGGGTCCCGCTAAAGACTCAGAGTCATCAGAATTTTGGAAAATACACTCACAACAAAGAAATGCACGTTTCCCAGTGCATCTAGGTAGAAGTAGATTTGAGGATGTAGTGGATCTGAAGCTGAATTGAGGCTTGAGTAACCCACGGCAAATTATTTTGCTTCTCTGAAGTCTAGTTGCCTTACCTTTGACACAGGCATTATTCTACCTACTCACAAGCTTGTTCAGAGGATTAAAAACATGTAAGCCACCTGCTAAAGGAACTGGCTCATGGTAGTTGCTCAGTTAGTATTGTTTGTTCCTTCATTCCACAATTATTCGCGAGTTTGTTTACTTCTCTTCCTCCCCATTCCTCCCACCAATGACTTGAACAGGGTTAGGTTTTAAAAATTCCCTTGCAAAGCAGAGATTAGCTTCTTTCTTATGCAGTTTCAGATGTCTCCGTGCATTTAACCTACTGCATAAATCAGCAGTTTGCATAAAAGCCAAGCAAATGAAAGGGGAAACAAATCTTAGGTGCCCCTTTCTTTCAGCCCTCCATACTCTACTCTGCATCAATTATGGGTGACCTGGTTACCAATATAAGAACCAAATCCATTTCGGAACCTTTGTCATGGTCAAGGTTCCTGAGGAAGAACAGATGGAATAAATTAGTCAAAGCATGCTTAACTGGAAGGACATTTCTTTCCAAGAGTGGCCAAAGGGTAGGGGGGACACACAAGGGACAAGGTAGCAGAAGTGCCTCAGAGAGCCCGAGGGCTAGGACTGGGCATCCATCTGTATTTTGAATAAAGATGTATGGTTTTTGTTCCCATTTACAAGTGAGTCAGGAGGGATCTGATAGCTATTATTCTTCCAGAGATGGGTCGGAAAGTGACCCTGAAAATCTGTCCAAATGGCAAAACTCTTTCAGAAGAGGGAGTAGGAAGCCTTTCCTTTCATGTGTTCTCAATAGAGTTGAGGCAGACATTTGTCTATAATGATGCCTCCTGGCAGGAGTTTGGATGGGGTTCGTGGATGCATAGAGGAAACTGCTGGCAAAGCCTCCTTGCTTGGCCAAAAGCAGGGGCCTGGCTGATTTGAGACCAGATTACCATACTATTCCTCTTTCTCTTGTTTTTTTCTCCCCTCTATTTCTGGCTAACAGTCATTTCATCACTTCCCTGCTTCCCCTGCTTGGTGCCTCTTAATATCCACCATCGCTCCCTGGGTTCTGATCACTCCACTCCAGGGTGGAGATCTCTGGGAATACCATTTTGTTATTTTTATCACACAACAGGTGTGCACTCTGGTCAAACCCATAGAGTAGAAGACCCTCCAGTGCCCCGGACTGTGGATGTGACACGTTCACTATACCTGCCCCCTGCAACCTGTGATGACTTTGTCACGTGAAGCTACTCTACTATTTCTCTTTCCCTCTGAACCCAAACAAACAGTAAACAACACATGCTTTTTATTCCAATTCTGGAAAAGAAGAGCTGTTTCCTATGAAAGCCCATGCCAAGCAGAGTCCTTCTTTTTCCAAGAGGTTTTGGGAATGAGTGATTTTTTTTTTTTTTGTCCAGCAAGCAGGAAAAAAGAAACAAAATAGAAGTTGTTTCATAGATAATCAATGCAGGAAGGGATCTGAGAGATGACTGAACCGAATCTGTCCATGCAGGTGAGACCTGGGGCCCAGAGGTTGAATGACTGCCGCAAGGTTAGGGAGGTCAGGAGAGAGCTGAGGCTGCCATTGGAAATAAAAATAAGGATAAATTACATTGACTGTGGACTTTGTTTTAGGTGCAGCCATTATCTCTTTAGTCCTAACAGCCTTCTCTTATTCAGGGGAGGAAACAAAGGTTTGGGGCTCTTAGGTGACTCACCAAGGTCACACAGATAGTAAGTGGCAGACGGAGGACTCACACTTGGGGCAGTTCAGTTTCAAAGCCAAGTGCTTGAACACTACTCGTCCTAGACCACTTCCACTGCTCCCCACTTGCAAGTAAAGTCTGTGCTTCCACAACAGAGCTGAGGGTTCCATTCTCTCAAGTGACAACAATTGGACAAAACCTGCCATGTTAAGTTGCCCCAACAGAGCCAGTGAGAGCAGGGGAAGCGGGGATACGGATCTCCTGTGCTGAACTTTAGCAAGTGAGCCTAAGCCACTGGCTTAATCTTTTGCAATCTTTGACTCAAAAAAACTTACTTTGCAGTTGTGGTTAGAGGTAATTTCAAATACGTTCCAGATGTGACTAGAGGCTGGTGAGCAGCTCTTGGGGCAAGAGGGCGCTGGGCCATGTGCGCATAGCACCCAGGGCTGGCTCAGGAAGTGGGTCTATCAGCTGAAAAGGTAACAAGCTTCCTTTTGCCTCTGGCCAGAGGAAACACGGGAGTAGCAGGGAGAGGGCTGCAGCTGACCTGAGCTGGGTGGCTGGGGAGGAGGTAGGGCAGCTCCCAAAGGGGAAGCAGCCCGCTGTTTCTGTGCAGTGTGGCACAGGATGCATGATTTCTGGAGCCGGATAGATTTGGGTCTGCACTTGATTGGCAGTAGCTGGTAAGTAGTTTAATTCCTGTAAGCCTCAGTATACTAATCTGTAAAATGGGGCTTGATACCTGCCTTATAGGGCTGTTTTGAGAATTAGGGAGAAAGTATGCAAAGAATCTGAGACAGAAAATGTTGGCTATTATGCTTTTATTTTGGGCCAGGAATAATAATGAAATCAATAGTTTTAGAATATTTTTCCAGCTCTTTCTTCTCAAAAGTTTCTGAATTTTTTGTTTGTTTGTTTTTCTGGCTGCGTTGGGTCTTAGTTGTGGCATGCAGGATCCTTGTAGTGGCACGTGAACTCTTAGCTGTGGTATGTGGGATCTAGTTCCCTGACCAGGGATTGAACCCGGGCCCCCTGTATTGGGATTGTGGAGTATTAGCCACTGGACCATCAGGAAAGTCCCAAAAAGTTCCTGAATATTTAAAGAGAGTGGATCCCAAGGAGTATTATTAGGTTTCCTGAGTGGTATTGGTGGATGGGGATGCCAATTGCTCTACAAATAGGAGAGACAGAGGGCGTGGTAGGAGTGGCTATAGGAGGGGAAGGAATCTAGGGAAGGTGCAGGGAGGAGGAGAGAGGTAGCAGCAACTCTATGGAAAAGAACTTGGGGGAACCAGAGAGACTTCCAAGGGCGAGTTAGAGGAGGTTTTGCTTTGTGACGTGGAATGTAAACCTCCCACTCCGGCTCCATTAAAGAAGCCTTTGGTAAAAGGCTTCTATCTTACACATCAATGCTTTTAGAGTATGGTTTGTGATATCCATTGACAACAGGCTCCAGGATAAGAATGGCTGAGAGTGGCCAGTTTATTTAAGTTATTTCCGAGGATCTGTGTGTTGGGTAGGGTGACCGTGTGTTCTCTGGGTGTTGCCCAGAATGACGAACTGAGCAGACCCATGGAAATGGTCATCTGGCTTGCTGGATTGAGTTGCTCTGGAATTCAAAGAGCTGTTTTTCTCAGTAGCCTCTGTGAATGGGATGAAATTGGTGGCAGTATGTATGGGTAAAGGTGATGATGTTCAATTCGGGGCTCAAATCTGGAAACTCTGAAAAATTTCAAGGAAAGACCAGCATTTTGTAGGCATCTTCTTCAGTGCTACATGTAGAGTAAGGGTGCATAAAGAAGGAAGAACTCTGGGGGGCCCATTTTTGTCCTGGAGGATAGGACATAGAAAGTCCTAGTTGTCTGCCAGTGATGATAATCAATCCACCCTGCTCTCTGGTTGTCCTGGAAGGAGGTCTGCACAGAGTGGGGGAGCAGATAGAGGGAGCCCAGGCCTGGAGTCTGGGCTCTGCCACTCTTCTTGTGACTGTCACCAAGTCATTCAGCCTCTCAGGTCCCTCTGCCTTAGAGGGAGTCAACAAATGGCCCTTGGGAAGATCTAAGAAGTCATCTTGAAAGTGCATTGTAAACTAGAAAATGCTACCTAAGTACACAGTATGATACAAATATGATAAAACTCAAGGCTCGACCTTGGCTCTGATGTTTTTTGTTAGGTGACCTGGAGCACCTCCTGTGACCTCTGAAAACCTCCGTTTCTCTGAAGGAAAGGAGAGGCAGCAGTACTGACTCTGCTGGGTTGTTTTGAAGAGTATCGTTGGCCAAAGTGTTTTATAAATGATACAGTGCAATAAATGTAAAGGTTTACTGCAACTGCTTTCGCTACTTATGAATTTTAGTATTGATATCATGTAGATTAAAGAAAAAAAATGAAGCCCTTATATTAAACACTATGTAGGACACAGAGCCTTTTAATGCCCTGTAACACTCACTTCCAGTAAGAGGAAGAAGGTGAGCCTTTCTGAAATGAAACATGCTTCCAAGCCGTTTTATTTGAACTTAATTTTACTATGTGACTATTGTGGACAGAGTTCTTCTGTGGGTAGCACATGACTCACTCCTCAAGCTTTTCCAACAGCAGCGAAAAGTTACAGATATTTGATTTCCCCAGTAAGGAGTTATTAGCAGTAATAATTCCTGAGAATATTAGGTTAGGTGTGGCCGTGCCTGTTCTCAGGAAGGCCCAGGCTTGAGTACAGTAAATACTTCATGATAACTCACTGGCTAAACAAAACACATACAGAGACCTGGGGCTCCGAGCCCTGACTGAGGTCGCCTTGCTGAGTCAGCCCACCAGCCTCTGGCTTGGTCATCCCACCATGGGCGCTACACACCTGCACTGATACAGCTGCTGGACAGAGGGTCCTGCAAGTCCCTAAACTCAACATGTCCTGAGGCAAACAAAGCATCGCTTCCTCGACCTTCTACTCCTTCTTGATTCCCTGTCTGGCTAGCAACACCCCCATCTCCCTAGTCCCAGAGTCTCATGATTTTAGGGTTACAATAGACACCACCCTCTCACTTCCTAAGGCCAATCAGGTCTGGACTATGGCCAGCTGGGCAAATCACCTTGCCAACATTTGCTGTTTGTCACTCCCTCTTGTAATTGCACTGCTGTCCCATTTCAGGCCCTCAGCATTCTCATGTGGACCATGGCAATTTTGTTTGCTTTTGCAAATCTTTGCTAATCTTACTTGGATCTAGTTGTCCTGCCCACCTTTAGTGTGTCCTTCTGTACACTCCTCTCTCTACTCATCGGCATTCTGAGCTTCGAAATGCACAGGTCTGGGCACCCTGCACCCTGCTCACAAGCCTGCCATGGCTCCCTACTTACTGCCTGTAGGATTTTGTTTAAATTCCTTGGCCTGGCACTGTAAGCCTTCCGCAATCTGGTCCTTTTTGATCATCCCTTGTACCTTGTTCCTTAGTTACACTTAACTACTTGCTGTTTCCTACACTTAGTTTCCCGTTTTCTGCACACATCAGATCTCTGCTCATCCTCCCACGAGACCCCAAACTGGTGCCTCTATCAGGAGTAGGCCCTTAGCTGCAGGTAAATGTCTTTTTAACCTACATGCCCACAGAATATCCTGCATCTTATGTTAGCCCTTATTATATACACTGTGCCGTGAAATATAAGTATCACAGGTAGGGGGCAGCACAAATGATACTTTCTCAGAAAGGTCACCTCTGAGCTCTCTCTTTTTAAAGTATATTTCTCCTATCACTCTCTTTCATAGAATCTCATTCTTTTCCTATAGAATATTTAACAATGTTTATAATTTTGTACTTTTATGTATGCTTATTGCTTAATGTTTGCCTTACCTACTGCATTGTGAACTCCCTTGTTTGCATAGGCATGAAGTATGCCAGTATGTTTATGTCTATCACCAGGGCTTAGCAAAAGTGCCTGGCTCATAGTAGATGTTAAATAAATAATAAATAAGTAAATAAACAAAATAAATGTCTTCAAGCCTACCTAGATTGTCAACTTCTTGAGGTTGTCTTTGCATTTCACCATTCCGTCTAGCCCAGTCCTTCTTCTGGTAGGTGCTCAACCAACAATAACTAAATTGGATTTTAATTTTAGTTCTTCGTTTCTTTCTGTTGAGTGAGGAAATTACTATGGCTGACTTGTTGGCCTTTGGATTTGTTCATGAAAGAAAAGGGATGGAAAAGTATGCAATTAGATAGTCTTTGATCGTATTCTAGTAGATTTCCACATGGGAGACCCCCAACATGCTTCCCAATAAAAAGCGTTTACGGGGCTTCCCTGGTGGTGCAGTGGTTGAGAGTCCGCCTGCCGATGCTGGGGACACGGGTTCGTGCCCCGGTCCGGGAAGATCCCACATGCCGCGGAGCGGCTAGGCCCGTAAGCCATGACCGCTGAGCCTGTGCGTCTGGAGCCTGTGCTCTGCAACGGGAGAGGCCACAACAGTGAGAGGTCCGTGTACCGCAAAAAAAAAAAAAAAAAGCCTTTTCATGGTAAAGCAGATCAACACTGTGGCTGTTAGCAGCAGAAATAATTACCAAATTTCTGACATGAGTCTGTTTATCCTGCTACTGTCAAGGGTAATCATGTTAGTTTAAGAAAACCCTTTTGCCTTGATTCTAAGTGTTCACATGTGAAAATGTTGTCAGGTGTGGATTCTGGCTGTGAAATTAACATGTGTAGAAATTTATGTATGTGTTCACGTTGTGGATGACCCATAACTTTAATGAGGGCAGGACACGATTTATTTGTGAATTAACTGATCAGAGCGTTCAACCATTCATCTATTTGTTTATTGTTTTGTTCTTTTATTTTTAATTACTCATTTGTTTGCTCACTTGACAAGTCCCAGAGGGGTAATTGTGGGCTTAGCCGAGTCAGGGCTATAAGCAAAAACACAACGTGTACCAGTACCAGCCCTCAGTGAGAGCTCAGGGTGCATAAAGTGATCACAAAAGGCTTCATGGAGAAGTCAATATGAAGAAAAAGGTTTCTTCCCTTTGATCAATAAAGGGAAAATGGGATCTCCATTCACTAATTTTACATTGCTCTTCCTTGTTGGGTTCATTTGGTCATTGACCATATTGTGTGTGTACATGTGTGTGTGTGTATAAGCTGTGTATGTGAATATGTATACATTTTGTATGTGTGTGTATGTATACAGTGAACTAGTCATGCCTAAATTCTGGCTGTGGAAGAGATGAAGGAAATTAACATTTCTAGTTTTCAAAATCCATTATTTAGCAAGTGATTATTTTTTCCTTGTAAACTGCAGAACTCATCATTCACATACTCTACTGAGAGGAAAGCCAGGATGCAGTCAGATGAGAGCACTGCTGGATGGCTGGGGTAGGAGGCCCAGCATGGGTCACTCAATCTTCTCCCTCTAAAGAGTGTCTAGGGCATTGAGTTATATTATATAAAATCTACTGGCTGAAATTATTACCTTTATCGTCTCCCTTTCATCTTTTTCTTTTAACTTTCAAAGTTGTATTTACTAGACCCATGTAATTAATATATCAAGAAGCAATAAAAATATAACTAGCAGTGGGCATAATTCTCCATGCATATGATCCCAGCAGATGAACAAGAATCTACCAATACCCATGTGGGGAAAGAGTTCGCACCTCCTAACGTCTCTAAACTTGCAAGCAGGGTCCTCCAAAGGGTCTCCTGGAAGCTTTGGCCCAGATCACAAAGGTAGTGACCAGATCCCTAATGTGATTCCAGGCATGTCTGAAATATTTCAGGCCCATCAGATAGTGCATAAGATGAAGAAGTAAACACCCATGTGCCCATCGTCAGCATATGAATAAAATGTTATAACTATTATGGAAGTCCTCTGTTACCCCCTCTTTAATTGCATTTCACCCCCTCCCTACCCCACCCCTTTTGGCTTTGTGGTGATCACTTTCAGCCTGCCATCATTTTCTAAAGCCCATAGGGTATAATTTGGTTTGTATGAACTTTTAGATTCAGTTACTCAACAAGAAGAGTTTCCAGTTCCTTTGCATTTTCTGCCTTGGATTATCACCATTTTTTTTTTTTATTAGTTGATCTGACCCTTGGAAGATAATTTAAACTTGGCTGAAGTGTTTAAGTAGGTGGTTTCAGTTAGAGTATGTTGTCCCACAGAGACCACGGTCAAGCTCCCCATTACTTCAGTTCACGTATTGTGAATAGCAATATGTGTGGGAGGCACCAGGATGATGTAAAAATGGAAAACTGGGTTATTAATTCTGGAGGGAGGTTAATGAAGAGAAATTTGGGGAGCATAATGGTCATCCAGCTATTTTAGGGGCTCTCATTCTCCTTCATACTCCTGACTCCTGATTGGTCATCAAGCGTTTTCAATTCCTCTTCTTAAATATCTCTCAAGGGGGAGACGCACGTCTCCCTCTTCATCGCATACACAGGGCCTTTGTGTATTCAGGCCCTCAGCACTCTGGCCTGCTCTATTGTAATAAGTCCTTAACTTACTTCATGCTGCCACTCACTCCCCTCTAACTCTATTCCTTTTGCTGAATCCAGAGAAATCTTTCTAAAACAAAAATCAGAGTAGGTTACCTCATTTTTCTTAACACCTTTCAATGGCTGCCCATGGCCTTCAGGGTAATACCTGGTATTCATAGTTGGGGTCCCTGCCCACCTCTGTGCGTCCTCTCTCTGTCTTCTCCACTTCCCACTCTTGCTTCAATCAGGTTGAGCTCCATTTGGTTTTTTCCTCTCGTGTAGATGTGCCTGCGCCCGCTGTGAACTCCTACTTGTCCTTCAAGGTTTAGATGTAGTGTCACTTCTGTGAAACTTTCCTTGATTGCCCCTTTCTGAGTTCTCATAACACCCACAGACTCTTCCATCTTTGCACTTAATAAATTTTCTTGTAGGGTTTTATTTGTCTGTCTCCCTCTCTGGACTGCAGGCTCCTTAGAAGGTAGGATTGTTGCTTATTTCTCAACCATAGCACCCCTCACCCTGCCTAGTCTGATCCATGTTTGTGAAATGGATGAATGCACGCATGCCTGAAGCTAGAGGAGGATAACTGAGTCATTCCCCCACTTGAATGTAAGCTACAAGAAGGATGGGTTTCTGACTGTTTTGTTCTTTGCTGTAGCCTCTGCACCAAGCACCATGCATGGCACATAACTGGCATTCAACGAACAGTTGATGAGAGAATGAACTAAGACTTCTTCTGTGTGACTCCATAGGGTAGATGTCTGACAGTGGGTAGAAATTCCAGGGATATTATCTGGGGGATCTGTTCTAGCCCTGCAATTTACCAGCAGGAGGCTCAGTCTTGTGCAGCCCTTGAGCCAATGTAAATCAGGTCTAGCAGCATGATTTTCACTCCCTTCCCACTGGATAGTTTTCAAAACACAGTCTGTGGACCACATGGGAAGCACCTGCACCAGAGTCGCTGAGGTGCATATTAGTATTGCAGGTCTCTGGGTCCTGCAGTAGACTAGCTGAATCAGAATTTCTGGGGTGGCTCCACCAATCTGTTTTCCACTTGTTTCCTGTGGAGACTAGGAAAGTTCAACAATGGCATTGACTACACTGGAAGGGTAATAAATACCCCATCAGTGCAGGAGATCTAAAAGAGGTTGAGCAAACTAGTTAGGGTAACACTAGGCTGACTCTCCCACTCACCCCCTAAATAGTACATGAACAGCACAGTGTAGGCACTCAGTAAAATTTGCTGAAAAGAATGAATGGGTCCGAAACTTGTTCATACAAAATTAGATAAACACATGTTAAGTGATGCTAGGTGTTTGTTCTTTATCTGTATACTTCGGAAAGACTGAGCAATTTATATGAGCCAACAATCAGACCTGGTTTGTTTTTGGACTTGAATTTCCCTTTGTATTCACAAATAACACTACAGGTAGGAAGTCATTAAATTTCACCTATAACATTTTTATAAAAGTGACTTTTCTGAGCATTACAAAATCCCAGTAAAGTTGAATCTCTTAAAGTTCACTTGAAGTTGACCTGGAAAAAAGAAAATGGGCCTTGAAATTGAGGAATCACAGTTGTAATGACCTTAATCGATTTACAAAACACTCACTCAGGAAGGAGGATGTGAAGATATATAAACATGGCACGCACAACATAAACATTTTATTTCATTTGGCAGGAGATATCTTTAGGGAGGGTGATGGAGGGGCTTGTTTCCCCTTCTTTTTGGCGTGTTTCATCTTTAATATTTACAAGGAATTGGCATCTTCAAGGATACCTAGACACTTTTCTGCCTGGGATCTTCCTTTCCAATCGTTAGAAATACCAGCAGCAGAAAGAATCAAGAAATCTTTGTTAGGCTGGGAATGCCTTTTCAAAATAAACTGGGAAACTTCCTGACTCTTACTTTTGGAATTTTCAGCAGGTGGCCATAGATCCCTCCAAGGATGTACTTTTTGATCCAGCGAGCACGGAATCATTTTTACCCTTCTGGCTTTAACACATTTCAATATCTGTGTTTTCTATTTATTTGGATATTTGAAGGAGATGATTAAAATACTGTCACCTTGCTAAGTATCATTTGATCTTCAAGGATATAGCCTGATATTGCTGAATATTACCTCCTTGTACCTCATCTCTTTCACTTAATGGGGGGGCACACTCTAGAGGGGGTTGAATGGCTCCCCCCTCCCCCCAAATATATATCTACTCAGAACGTTTTTTTTAAAAAATATTAATTAATTAATTTTTGGCTGTGTTGGGTCTTTGTTGCTGCGCACGGGCTTTCTCTAGTTGCGGTGAGCGGGCTTCTCATTGGGGTGACTTCTCTTGTTGAGGAGCACGGGCTCTAGGTACGTGGTTTTCAGTAATTGTGGCACGCAGGCTCAGTAGTTGTGGCTCCTGGGCTCTAGAGCGCAGGCTCAGTAGTTGTGGCTCACGGGCTTAGTTGCTCCGCGGCATGTGGGATATTCCCCGGGCCAGGGCTCGAACCCGTGTCCCCGCACTGGCAGGTGGATTCTTAACCACTGCCCCACCAGGGAAGTCCCTATTTGGAACCTTTATAGGTGATCTTATTTGGAGAAAAGGGTCTTTGCAGTTGTAATTAAGGATCTCAATATTAGATAATCCTGGATTATCTGGGTAGGCCTAAGTCCAGTGACGAGTGTCTCTAGAAGAAAAGGAGAAGATAGACACAGGAGGAGATGATGTGAAGACGGAAGCAGAGATTAGAGTGATGTATCCACTAGCCAAGGAGAATCAAGCATTTCTGGCAGCCACTGGAAGCTAAGAGAGAGGGACTGTTTGTCCCTCAGAGCCTCCAGACATGCTAACACCTTGATTTCAGACTTCTGGCCTCCAAAACTATGAAAGAATACATTTCTGCTGTTTTAAGCCACCCAGTTTATAGTAATTTATTAGGGTTGCCCTAGGAAACTACTACTCTATGCTTTGGACCCAATCTCTCCACCTTTCTGCCACCCTACTCTGCTATAAGGCTAGACTTATCCTGAAGTTTGAGGCCTCCTGCTTTGGTGAGGGATCTTACTCCACAGTCTGTGCTGGGCAACCAGACTTTGAGAACAACCATGGTTGTCTTGGGGCAGAGAATGTTGAAAAATAGCTAACATTCCTTAGTCACTTATTATTTGTCAGGTGTTGTTCTGAGAGTTTTACCTGCATTGTCTTATTCAGTCTTCACAGTAGATCTCTGCAGTTGGTTCCATTATTTTCTTCCATTTTCAGAGGCTCAGAGGATTTACCTATTACATGTTTAGGCAATTATAGAGTTGAGAGCAGAGCTGAGCTCTGAACCTCGGTCAGCCTCACTCCGAAGTCTTTTCTCCAAATCATTTGGAATTTCAAGGAAAACAGAGAGCCCCTGGAGGGCCAGGGCCTGAGCAGAGCTTTGGCATTCACAAGGGTGCCCCCGGACATCTGTGTGACTTCTTAGGTTCTAGAAATCTCCGTACTGTGCTTGAGAAGGGGATGGCGGACTAACTCAGAAAAGGACTCCCAGGATGAGTGACTCAAATCTGATTTTTATTTAAATCCCCAAACGTTATGAAGAAATCATTATTAGCACTATTATAAGTTACTTCAAGTCATGGGATATTGAGGTTGAGGGTTGCTTTGCTGGCGAGATGGTCCAGCCTTTTATGTTTAATGCTTCGCATGATAGCGTGGCTGCAATATCACTCCCTCCTCTTCCCTCCACGTCCCCTTAACAATTTCTTCCAAAATCTACTGAACTCATATACGCTTTGCCTGAACTTTTAAATAAGTAGAAATGGCCTCTTCCTTGACTAGGTGGACAGCAGCCCAGGTAGAGATGGCACTTACCAAAGGAGCCAGGAGACCTGCGTGACAGTGAAGACAACACAAGCCCCTCCAAGAACCCTCAGAACCCTTCAGACCTCAGCAGAGTAAGTAGTGGGGAGTCACACTGATTTTATGAAGATGGGGAACCCCTATGGATACTTTGTTTACCTCTGTTGCCTTACTGTCCTTTGCACATGATAAATGCTTAGTGGGAATTTGTTGAATAACTGAGAACAATAAAAAGAATGTCTATGTGTCTCAGGCTCTAATCACGTAGGAATTCATAGAAGGGGGAGGCCCATGAGTTAGGGGAAAGTGGAGAAGGCCTGGTTCAGAAAGTGTCACTTCTGACACCTTGGAGAGCTGACCCAACAGTGGGTTTGGCTGTTGTCACTGGGTTGATAGGAGCAGTGGACAGTGTGGGTGCAGCCAGCCAGCTCTACACCTCATTAGAATCAATATTTGCTACTTTGGGCACCTCTGGAGCATACTTGGATGTTATTGGGGGGTGGTCAGAAAAGGATCATGATGTGGTCATCCCAGAGGAAAGAGGATCAATGAGTTCATTTTGGAGGGGAGCAGGTGACTCCCAGATCCAGGTGCAGGTGGTCTGGGCCTGACCAAAGAGGAGGGGGCTTGCTGAGAGCCTGTGTGTTCAGAGAGGATGGGATTCAGCCACAGAATCGTCAACTTGCCCGTTGCCTAGGAAAGGGCACCTTGGACGCCTCTCAGTTGGAAGATATTATCTCCAGATGGAGTCCTATGCCTGCTGGCAAAGTCAACAGTATTATTTGGTAATATTTTGATGTGCTATTTATGTGGAAAGGGGGTTTATTGACATATCTTTCACATCATGCACAAACAGCTCTAACTTTTTCTTTTGAAAGGGACGATAGTGATGAAGATGGCGAATCTTGGAAAGGAACTGAGGGGCAAAGAATGGGCTGGGCATGGCTTTGTGCCCAACACCATGTGTCCTGGTCTGAGCATTCAGGCCAAAGCTTGATTTGCATTCATGCTGCGTCCCTGGTTGGTGAAGCTGGACTTGCTTATCGTCCTGATGAGACTGGCAAAAGCTCCAGACGAAGAGTGACAATGAACGGGAAAACACTGCAGAGGGCAGGGATGGGAGGGGAAGGCTCGGGGGAATTACCCAGGGGTTTCATGTCATGCATTTGTCTGTTCATCATCTCCATTTGGGCAACAACAACTTAAGAGGAGCAAGCAGAGAGGTTCACATTATTTTAGTGACCCCTGAAAAAACTCCCACATCTCTGCTGGGAAATGTGTGCTTCCCCTCCATGCAGCATTTGTTTTAAATATTTAGCTTCCCCACACAGTGGCAAGCTCATTTACCCATTTCCTCTCTCTTTCTCCTTCTCTCCTCTCTCTCTCTCTCTCTCCCTTTCTCTGTCTCTCTCCCTAATGAAATCACTTTAGTCAGCACAAATTTGAAGGCAGAACCAAACCCAGTAATAGCATATCTCAGGCTGCTATCAATTTTCCGCCAGAAGAACATTTCAGGACACAAAGTCCTTTGTCTATTTCCAGAAGCTCAATTCAATGACATTACATGAATGACTACAACCCTATAGCATGTTCTGCACCGTTTCAAATTGTAACCTAAAAAAAGGGAATAACTTGGATTGCGGCCAGAGTGTAATGATTTCAGTTCTTAAGAAAATCCAGCAACCATTACACCACATTCAATATTTTCTTGCTGTGGAAATTTAAGAATTGACTCTAATCAAATAGCAAGCCCACCACCCCCATCCTCCATTTTCTTATGGTTCCTGTTACTAACAGGCCTCCCACGTCTGTTTTGGCTTAAAAAAATAAATAAGTTTACAATATGTTTTTAAAAATTGGGCTGAATCAGACAATTGTATATTTTAGAAAATGAAGGCAAAATGTAAAACAGGCTAATCATGATTCCAAATTCAATATTCAGGGCCCTAATTGATCCCATCCCAAAGGTAACATTCTATCTTAATTGACATGCCGAGATGGTTACAATTATGTAAAATAAAACTGGGCCTGTTGGAAACTCCATGTTTTCTCGTCGAACAGGAGATGGCTAGCTTTTATAATAGTTGATTGCAAAAGGATGCGACCACTTTGCTCATATTTCCTATTTTGGTTTGGCCCTTGTACATGTGCAATGAGGTCCCCCACCCTTCCAGTGAAGTATGGACATCAAGGGGGATTTGATGTCATTATATTTTCCTTGGGGCTGAAGGAGGCCTGATAGAAAGGGTCAACATTTTCAATGTCCATTTTGGAAGTCAGTTAAAAAGAGAGAATGGAAGAGAGAGAGGGGATGAAATCGAACATTTTCCCATTTGTTGGCAGAGGGATATGTCTGCGCGATGGTGACCACACGCGCGAGCTCGTGCTCAGCCTTGATAGGAAACAGATGGCAGCGAGCAAGCACTGAGCAGGCGGAGATTATAGAATGCCGGGCCCACGGGATGGACCCACAGCCCTTCTGTCTCTCTGCCGAGGGCACCCCGACTGGGAGGCCAGGACTCCCTGGGGGCCATACAGGAGGCTGAGGAAGACAGGAGACCTGTTTATGCAATCAGGAAAGGCAGAGGCTGCCTTCGATGGGGTGGAACACCTGTGCCTCTTGGCAGCTTGCCTCCCTGGATGGGTGAACCAAGGGAGCCCGGTGCGTGGTGGTTACTATTAATCACCCTCCTTCTGCCCAGCAGTGCCAGCCACAGGGGCATCTTCCTCTCACACGCGGCGGCGGTGCTCACTCTCTACCTCCCGACAAGACAATGTCATTCTGTCAACATCCACACTGGTCCTGATTTAGTTTAGAGCGTCAGGTCTCTCCTGCACGGTGGCAGTGGCTTTTCTAACTGGCCTCTCTGCCTCCAATCCTGCTGCCTCTAATTCGCAAACCTGCCTATGTGGCAGGTCTAAACCCTGCCAGGGCTCCCCAAGAACCTCAGAAAGGAGAACAACTGCTGTTACTTATTTGTGTAATTATTTGTTTCATGCCTCTTTGGCTGCCAGTTTACTCCTGGATCCTTGGCATCTAGCACAGTGCCAGGCCGTGTGTGTGGAGCCTTGGGGTATTTTTGTTGATTGAATAAAAATGCTCTTCCTTGGGCTTCCCTGGTGGCGCAGTGGTTGAGAGTCTGCCTGCCGATGCAGGGGACACAGGTTCGTGCCCCGGTCTGGGAAGATCCCACATGTCGTGGAGCGACTGGGCCCGTGAGCCATGGCCGCTGAGCCTGCGTGTCCGGAGCCTGTGCTCCACAACGGAAGAGCCAAAAACGGGAAGGGCCCCGAAAAAAAAAAAAAAAAAAAAAAAAAAATGCTCTTCCTTGAGCACTGAGGCCAACTCCCCAACCTAGAGAGCGTTATATACAAGTGTGCTCATATATTCTTCTCTTAGCAAAATATCAGTGCTTTAGTCAACATTTATCACCTACTCTAGACCCGTAGAGACAAAGAACACAGTGAAAGAAGTACTCTTCAGGCTGACAGTATGGTCTGGACACACTTAGCTCCTCTGGAAGGGCCTCGGACAGGAGCGGTCCGATAAGCAGAGAATATTATATTTTGCTGTTACTTTTTGAAGACCCTCAAGACCTCAGGGCTGCATGGGTCTTAAATCACCTTGCTCAACAGATTAATTTTGCAGAAGAGGAAAAGGAACCCTGAAGAGGTTATGTGACTTCCTAGGCGATCAGTTGTCAGTTACAGGTAGGGCTGTGATGAGCACGGGGGGCTCCTAGCCTGAGGCTCTTGTACCTGTTGGGCTGGAGTCCCAGGTTATTTGGGAAATCAGCAAAATCCCTCCACGGCACCTCCTTTAATTCCATTTCACGTTTACACCCCTCCCCCCATCCATTTCCCATTTATATGTTATTTGTGCTCAAGGCCCCCACGGAGAGCCCTGTTCCTGAGAAGCAGCCTGGGACAAAGGAAGGAGAGTCAAGCCTGGAGCCAGAACGACCTGGGCTCGAGTCTAGGCTCTGCTATTTCCTTGCTTTGTGAACTTGAGCAATTTACTTAGTTCTCTGGGCCTCAGTTTCCTCATGATAGCAACCTCACAGAGTTGTTGTGAAGACTGAGTGAGGAAACATATGAAAAGCCTCTGCCACGTTATAGGAGCTTAATAGATATTTAATACATGTTCCTTCCTACTCTTCTTGTACCCTACTGAAACTCACCCGTCCTGAGCTTCTGTGCCATACTCCCCTCCAGGTTATTCATACCATTGCATGTCTGCCCTTCCTTCCTCCCTCTTTGTATCTATCCCAAGGTGACATGTGCATTTTTAAAAAAATTTATTGGAGTACAGTTGATTTACAATGTTGTGTTAGTTTCAGGTGTATAGCAAAGTGATTCAGTTATACATATACATATATTCATTCTTTTTCAGATTTTTTTCCCATATAGGTTATTATAGAATATTGAGTAGAGTTCCCTGTGCTATGTAGGTCCTTGTTGATTATCTATTTTATATATAGTAGTATGTGTATGTTAATCCCAAGCTCCTAATTTATCCCTCTTGCCCACGTTTCCCCTTTGGTAACCATAAGTTTGTTTTCGAAATCTGTGGTTCTTTTTGTTAATAAGTTCATTTATATCATTTTTAAGAATTAGATTCCATGACATGTGCCTTTAGATAGACTAAATCTGGAATAATTTATAATGATTTTGACTATTATGTATTATCTAGCATAAAGCATATTTTATAGTTTATTATATATTATGTTTCTATTATATAAAAAGTAAAAATACTCTTTGTCAGAGATGAATAAAATACTGGGGTCAGTAGATGAAATAGAAAGGATGCAGCCTTTGGAATCAGAGAGGTTTTGAATCTCCATGTCCCATATTACCAATAACATGTCCTCGGGAAAGCGACTGTAACCTGTGGAAGGCTTAGTTGTCTCTCCTGTAAAATGGAGTTGATAATTTCCACCTCTCAGGCCTGACCTGTGGATGGAATGGAATGATGGCCCCCTGCCTGGTACAGGGGAGGTGCTCAGGAAAATGGCTAGTCTCTTCCTAGCTCCTGGTACAGACTGGAGCCATCAGATGTAATTTCAACAATTATCTGTTGAATTACATTGCATTTCTGAACGCTAAAGGATTGATTTTAAGGTGGGGTGTCCTGAAGGAGAAGAGGATTTTGCCAACAAACATGCCCTGAATTCCATTATGTGCTAAGAAGTGGAGGTTCTAGATGTGTTCAGTGGATCCCTGTGATCCTTTAGGGGGTTCACAGCCTAGGTATCAGCAGAACATACACATTTCATAGTAAAAAACAAGACAACCTGATCTAGGCTAAAAGCCACAAGGGTGCTTCCAACCGAAAGTTTCTTGAGATTGAGAAGAAGGAATTTTTCTTTTGAATGGGGCTGGAGGACCATTATTTCCAGGAGGCACTAGGGTATGAGGTAGACCTTGAAGGAAAGGTAACCAGTCAGAATTCAGAGAAGAACCACTTTGGTGGGAAAGCAGAAAGGATGGGCTCACTCATGGATCCTGAAACAGGTCTTACAGTTTATCTGGAGGCAGAGTAGTTAGTTGGGTCTGAAGTTGGTGGAGTACAGCTGACTGGAAATGCCCATAAGTGACATTCACTGGTTCAGTTACTCCTAATCCTAAATGTCTTAGATGTCACTTTTCTAATTCTACCATGTTGGTCATAGGACTACAGGAAGAGGGTGTTGCTGAGTGACATCAAAATAGAAAAGCCATATGTGGGTAGACACACCAGTCCCAACACTTGCTGCATTCTCAATCATTCCTTCATTCAAAGTTTAAGCTTATTATATGCTAGGCATTGTCTTTGGCCACACCTGAGGTAATATATCTGTGTCCTCTCTCCCTCCACCCATTCGGACCATGTTGCTCTAGAATTGTCAAGAGTAGCATCTTTGTGGTGGCTCCATACACTGGTTCCAGAGACACAGATTTCCCCTCTGACTTCCAACCCATGCATTTGTATTCAGCATTATGCACACCACAGCGATATGCATGATATGGTCATTCTTTCAAGTTCACGGTCTAGTGTGTAAGTCAGTGAGTACAGAGAAAATCACAGTAGGGGTTGATCAAAGCTATGATAGACATAAACATGAAGTGATGTGAGGGAACAGAAAAGGGGGATTGGAACCTGATTATGGTGTCAGGAAGACTTCTTGGAGGAAGTGATCCATGAGATGGGGCCTGGAAGATAAGTGTGAGAGAGTAGTTCTGGTGAACTGAAAACCCACCGTGAACTGAGCACCGTGGTAGGCTTTACGGTTACAGCAGTGGTGAGCAGAACAAAGTTCTTTCTCTCAAGGAGCTTTCGTTCTAGTAGGGAGATAGCGACGGGCAGAGGGAACAGCATGTACAAAGAACCAGAGGTGTGTTTACAGAACAACATATAACTCAGTATGGCTAGGACCTGAGTCAAAGGTGGGGGATTAAGAAGAGGGTGGCTTGGGAAAGACAGGACTGAGAGGTAAACATTGTGTGTGTGTGTGTGTGTGTGTGTGTGTGTGGTCTTGAATGACCTTGTGTGTCAGGCTAAGGAGGGTAAACTTTGCCCTGAGGACAGCAGGGAGCCATTGAAGAGTTTTCAGCAAGAGTGACATGATCACATTTTCTTTTTAGAACAATAACTCTGGCCACAGAAGTGAAAAAATCACTGGCTACAGGAACAGAAATGAATTGGAGGGAAGAAAACTGTGTGACTTTGGAAAAATGATTTAACCTCTCTGAGCCTCAGCTTCTTTATCTGTAAAATGGGAGTACTGTCCACCTAATAGGATTACTGTGACATTAAATAAAGCAAAATAGATCAAATGGCTCTGGTGTTACCAGGTCCTGTGTACTCCTCACATTTCAAGATGAGAAGTTTTTAGGAAGCCCAAGAGCCCATTGGATTTCAGGGAGCAACTCTGGGAGAAGAACTGGGGTGGCACTGGCCTGGGCCAGGTAGCAGACTGAGGTCAGGGGCAGAGACATTCAGCCCTTGATTCAGAATAGAGCTAATAATGGTTGCTGTGCGTCTAAGGATTATTGCTGGAGGAGAAGTGTGGTGTGTGGTGGAGCGGGAGAAAAATCACTACTTTGAGACAAAGAGTAGAATCCCTGTCAAGAGAGAGAGAAGACTTTGTCCCGGACACACTTTCATTGGTGTGTAGCTGGGAGGAGCCACGGGGAAGAGATGAAGAGAGAGCTAAATGAACATGAAATAAATTGGTATGTGCTAGGTTGGGAGTAGACAGAGAAGAAAAATATAAGAGGAATCGAAGGAGAGAGGGGGAGATAACCATGGCAGGAGGCCAGGGATTCTGAGGAGAAGTGAGAAATTCCCATTGTGGGTATGGCCGAGAGATTTTAAGAACAGGAACATCTAATTGCTTAACAGTGTTTCTTACCGTATCTGTGTGTTGTTCTGTTTCGTGACCACTTATCACTGTTCTATATTTTCAGTAAACTGTTCAGGAGTGGTGTTTGGGGTAAACCATGGAAAGAGGTGAAACTGTATATTTGAGTCAGCTTGGAACAGAGAGAAGAGTACAGACACTGGAGGAGTAGCAAGAATGCTTTCTAGATTTAGTAGGAGCAGAAAATCTGAGTAGCAACAGATCAAGAACATTTAAACCCTGGAATCCACAGCAATCTTGGGGAGAGTATTAGATTTGATGTAGAATGGAGTGGAGGTAGTGTCTCAGCAATGTTATTAGAATCTCAAAAGACAGAGTGATTCCAGCTCACATTTGAGTTGTGTATGGAATTTGTTCTGACAAATCCGAGAAGCACAACTACTTTGGGAAAGTATGTGTGGCCTTTTGGGGAATACACAAAGCAAGTGCCTGTACTAGAACCTTACCCACTTTATCCACATTTCAAAAACATTACCCACCTATCCACTTACCCATCCATCCACTCACCTACTCACTCATTCCTCCCTCCCTCCCTCCCTCCCTCCATCCATCCACCCACCCATCCACTCATCCATCTATCCTTCCATCCATCTATCCATCCATCCATCCATCTATCTATTCTTCCATCCATCCTCCACCCATCCAATCTTCCATTATTTCTATCTCTTTCATTGCTCTCTG